CACCTCGTGATCACACAGGCTGGTGTGCTTCTTCCATGTGGGCTTTGTTGCTTCTGAGCTAGATGGCCGCTTGTTTGCCTTCAAGCTTTTAAGACCTCAGACGCTATATCTTTTGATTTGCTGTTCACAGTGATCCTCTGGGCCAAGGGAGAACTGGGGTCCAAGTTCTCTTCATAGGTTGGTTCATAAAGATTATATCAGAAGAGCTGCTTCTCTTCTGAGGCACCTTGGGGTGGACTCAAACCTTTAACTGCTCTGTAAGCCCCCAAGGGTGCAGTTTGCACCACCCAAGGCCTCCAGCGTGCTCTAAAGAACACCTATACCATTTAGAGAGCAAATGGTTGATGCATCTACTTGACGAAAAATATGCTGAGTCATTTTTATTTTATTTAATAGCACTCATGTCAGGTCACACACTGCAACGCAACCACTTCATAAGGAATACATGTGCAAAACGAGGAGGCCAAAGCACCGTATTTAGAAGAAGGTCTGATTCTACCTAGAGAATCAAAATGATTCATAAAAGAAAAACAATTTGAAACTTCAGCACAGTTTCTGGATAGGTTTATAGATGTGTCATATAAACTTCTCTACACCAATGAGGAAATGTCATGAAAAGTAAATTCCATTCATATTGAACACAAAGCTATGAAAGTAGAAATATACTTGATATCAATGAAATTACTTTATAGTTGTGAAAGTTGTAAAACTCCTGCACATAACAAGATAATAGTTTTATTCTATATCCCCAAATTAAAACATTCTGGGATTACAGGTATGTAGATCAAAAGAAAAAAATAATCACCAGCACGTGTAGCAATTTGTAATTAATTTTAAAATGTGTACTTAATTTAAAAAACAGCATGTGTAGAAATTTAACCTTGGACAAGTGTGGAGTCCTGTATCAGTAAATAATACAAATGAAATTGGATATTTCTTCCTACTACACAAGACAAATCCATACATGTAAATATTGCCATATAAAAGAAATAAAGAATACTTTATAAAAAATTAAAAAGAAAAAGAATTAAGAGAAATAAAGTTCTGAAAGTAGAATAGTCTTAGGTACTTAGAGTGAGAAACATCTTAACTAAGGCATAAAACTTGGGAACAATAAACAAAAGTACAAACAGAAATGATTATGTAAAATTTTACATTTCCATAACTGTAAATACACCAAGGAGAAATTTTAAATGGTTAAACAGAAGGACCCTGGCAAAGAGTGTAAAAGAAAGATAATAAATATTCGTAATATGTAAAGAACTTCTAGAAATCAATAAGGAAAATATAAACCTATTAAAGTAGGCAAAAAACATGAATGATCAATTGCAGCAAATTAATGTAACTGTCTTACAGTTACGTTAGAGGGAGAGCTAAATAAATTTTGGAATACCATGCAGCCATTAAAGAGAGATAGACTTGAATATGTTGACAGGGGAAGATATACAGTTAGTCTTTTTCAATAAAATCACGCAAGTGCATGGACAAATAAAAATTATAGTATATTGCCATTAACATAAAGTACCCAGGATATATAAGTTGATGGGTAGATAGCTGGTTGATGATATGTAGGTAGATAGATGTACTAAACTATGGGTGGTGAATGGAGTTGAAGGACTGAAGAGTCACTTGCAAGGAATATGTTCATATACTACTTTTATAATTGTATGACTTAATATGATATGAATATTTTATTGCATTGTAATTGCTTTTTTATGTGAATGAAAAATATTTTTCTTCAAACTCTCCCTGAATAGCACATCCCTCCCACTTTGGAATCTCTAACTCGTTCAACATTACTCTGCCTGTCTGCTATTGGGATGATTTCTTATGCCACCCCTGTCTTCCTGGTTGCTCTTGTGCCCCTTGGAGTTGCCTTTTATTTTATCCAGAAATATTTCCGAGTGGCCTCTAAGTAAGTAAAACAAAGTTCTTATAATATCTTAACGCCTATCTATATATTTGATTTGTTGTAATGTGCAGTGGTGTTTTTCGAGATAAGATATTGAACTGGGAAATGCAAACTATTGGGGGCATGACAAAGCCTGTCCTGACATCATATTTCACGTGGAGACCTATTTTAATCTTGTTTTCTGAGTTGGTTGTAATAATTACATGTAGATTCATCTGTTGAGTTTCGAGTCCACGGACTGTGTCAAAATTTCTATTTCATTATCCTTTTTTCTGAGTATGACACTCGCAGAAAATTTACAAAATCAACCTTAGCCCCAAAGGTGTTTCAATACCATTATGTTTCTTATATGGAGGACAAAAGAGAGGGTTAAATATTTTAAGATCCTCTAAAAACATTCTACGAAATATGGAAGTTCAAAGAGATAAAAGAGAGGGACAACGATGAACATCTTGAGTGTTTGACAGATATACCATAACTTTATGAGATATGAAAATTTCAGATTGGATTATGTAACATGATATGAGAATCCAGCAAATAACTATAGTATTGGTTTTATTGGTTTTAAGCTCTTCTATTAAGACAGGATTTTTCATTTATGAGATGTTGAATCATTAAATGAAATATTATACCAAGCGTTTTTAAATGATGAACTTAACTCCAAAGTCCTGTTATAAACAGTACTATAAATTTTATGTCATTGCAAGAATAACTTTATTTCAACAAACACTTAAGCACTTATTATATTGCAAATAATTGTGTGAAGCCATGTGGCAGATAAAGAAGTCAACATGACAAGAACCTGTCCTCAGGAAGCTAAAGTCTCTCAGGAAGATAAAACATATAAAATAGCCCTCATGTGATTAAGTGTTGAAATAGGAAAGTAGACGGTGAGTTTATTCAGGAAATTTAAAGCATTTAATGTGATTTAGCTCTTACTTAGAGGATGCCCAATATATGACAAGTCAAGAACACCATGTATTTGCTATTTTCATACTCTCTCTGCTGTCTTTGTGATGTCTTAGTCTAACAGGAATAGTTTGGTCTTTGTGAATGAGAGTTCCTGAATGTTTTGCCCTATCCCGATCCTCAGTGTTTGCAGAAATAGTGTCCAGTCACTTAAGCTTTTAATCTGTACAAGTCAACAATCTGTGTGCTTTAGTCTACAGAGCTGTCCTATACATGAATACTGTCGTTTTCTCAACAGTATTGCAAATTCTATATCACTAGCTAAATTAATGATACTATTAATCGAATTAGTCTTATTGTTCTCCAATAAAATGATAATGATGTCTCTAAAGTGAACCCAGGACATATCTAAATCTAGATATCTGAATGGATTTTGAGCCTTCACTTAATGGTAGCCCTAATCTAAAAAACAATTAGTTCTCCTATGGGCTTTAGCGCCATCTTGTTAGAAACCTCCGAGCCATGAGAGCCAAGTGGAGGAAGAAGAGAATGCGCAGACTGAAGCGCAGAGAAGAAAGATGAGGCAGAGGTCCAAGTAAAGCAACCGGGCGCCCCCTCCGAAGCCACAGCTGCAGGACTATGGAGTGCCTGAGGCCAGGACGCTGCTACAAGCTGTTGACTGCGTGCTACCCACCGTCTCCGCATCTGAAACTTCCGTCGCCATTCGATCGCCGAGAGACCCGGCCCTTTGCTCAACACCCAACCAGTCCGGCTTTGCTCCTTTGCCCCGGACCTCAGACATTCCGGACTCGTTCTGTCCTCAGTTGTGGCTCGATGTAATGTGCACAATAAATCATCTCTTCTGCTGTCTTGGCTGAAGAATAAAAAAAAACAATTAGTTCTCATGACATAGCCCTACATGATACTTGCCCTCATTAAGAGACCACTGAAGATATGGGTGTTATTGCAACGTTTGATGGAACAATCAGATGGTGCCCAGATATTAGAGAAAATAGTGGCTGGCATCTTAAAGGACCATCTTAAAACAAGCAGTCATCCAAGTGAGGTTGACAGCTAAATCCACAAAAAAGAAAGACATCAGCCTGTGTGATCCAAGAATGTAAATGATAAAATCCAAGACCAGATAAGAGAGCAGTTTAGAGCTTAAATTATGAGCATCTGGTTTGCAGAAGGCTATGGATGACAGTGAAAACTCCCGTCCATTTGCAGGGTCCCCATATGGATTTAACCTCCAGTGAATCTCTTCTGACCATTGAGCAGGGGTGTGAATAGTCTTGCTATCAGGCAAGTAGATGTAGTCAGGTTAAATTTGAGCACCTTATCCTTTGTTCTTCTTTTAGACCCATTTTAAATTTGTTCTAGTTTTTAATATATTCTGCATTCTGTTTGATTAAGGATTTTCTCTGTTTTATTATTGTCATGGGGTTGTGTTTCAGTTTGTTTGTTTGTGGTTTTGCTGTATATGGAATCCAAGATTGGTAAATCTTATAGAGACTGTAACTGGATTAATAGTTTCTTAGAGTAATGACAGAAGGGATTGGGGAGAAAGGTGGAGCTAATAATAATGAGTACAAAAAGCGCTAAAATTAATTGTGGTGATGATTGCATAACTTTTTAAAATATTAAGCCATTGAATTATATAATATTAGATTATACAGTATGTCTATAAAACTTTTTAATTAAATTGAAATATACAATTTTTACAATATATGACTTAAGTGTAGGGAACCTGGCTAAGTGTACGGGAAGGTAGGAAGAGAACCTACCTTGTGCAGTTGGGAACGTCGTGCGTTGTATTTTAAAATATATTTATTTTTCCCACAGGGCTATGAACTAGGGTCCTTTAAATATTCTAAAAGCAGATTGACTCTAGGATGAATTCCCTCCACCTCTTCTCTGTTAGGAAATTAGAATTCTCCCTCTCACTTCTTCTAGTGTTACTGTGATGCTGCTTATTGGGTAGCACAAAGAAATTGAGTCAGTTCATGCTGGGTGGCTGTTTCTCACTCTATCCCTGCCTGCTTACCAAGCAATCCTATCACATACTAATCCTCATTCACATGCTCGTGCAGTCCTCTTTGAGCCCATTAGCAGTACAAATTGTGTGCAAAGTTTAGATAAATATTCTTAGTCTGTTCCTTCTGAATGGTGCATGAATAGTTCATTAAAAGTAAAAATAGTATTTTAATATTATTATTATATTATTAAAATAGAGAATAGATGATCAGTTTTACAGAACTATCCTGCTAATGGATTGTGGACAACCCAATTCTTGTTTGAAATGGGATGATCATGGACAAAGCCATTCTCGTTTAAAATGCTCTGAATGTTAGCGATTGTGTTTGCATGATCTTAAATCTCATAGAAGAAACAACCCCTCTAGAGGCTGTGGCTCTGAAAACTTACAGTTGAACAGGGCTTACGTGAAGAACTAGGTATAGGAAAGACCAGGAAACTTTGAATATCTAAAATCAAAGATTGAATGCATGATTTATTCTCCAAGCATTTCATAAAGGTAAGATCCAGCTGAGTCCTCATCTCTTTTTAGCTTCACAAAATACCATTCTATAAAGAAAAGACCCTTCTCCTTCCTAATTCCGTTCTTTTTACTTCACTTCATACCTCAGTGTACCAACCACCTATTTGTTGTCTGTGTCAAATTTAGAAACAGTCATTTGGTTGGTGTTGGTTAAAAAATGCGTATTTAAATTATAAGAGACTTTTCACATTTCTTTATATGTCTCTCACCTCCCTGTCTCTTCTACTTTCTCCTGTTACCGTCATTTTCCTTCTGCCGCTCGCTCCCTTTCTCCTTGCTCTGCTGTCTCTCCTCCCTCTCTCCCACCCACATTTCTCCCCTCCCCACATCTGCACCCCCCTGAAATGAATGAATCCATGTTAGCAGCACAAGCGGGAACTCCACAAGCAGCTAAGAAGGGCCTCATTGACTTGTTCAAGGTGATGTAACCGTTTATCAGTTCAGGTGACTGTGGCAGGTCAACGCCATTGCTGCAGTTCTAATTCCCACAGCTCCAGGGACCCAGGGAAGGGCCAACGAAACAGTAAAACGTGAAGTGTTTGGAAACATATGCTATAAATGCATATTCTGTCTTCCAGGAGCGCTGTCACAAGCGAGCATCTTTATGAAAAGGAACAGATTCCGGCATTGGTACACCAAGCATGCAATGATTGTTCTACCTATGAATTTTTAGTTCCTTTGAACTTCCTGTAGCTGGAAGTTCCACGAAGGCAGGGACTCCAACTCATTTTGACCCAAACCAAAAGCATGACCTTCATTCTTCGTCGCTCTTCATTCTGTCATTTTACCCCATTGGTAAATCGTACTGTCAGTTTTTCACATTCGCTAAGCTCGAAGCAGTCTTTTTCCTCATTTGCCTTTCTATAGACATACGATTAAGATTGCTGTGATGATGATCGCAGCCCAGAAGGCTACTTTAACTAGTCTGTCTCACAAGTTTCTCTCGCATTTGAACTCCCATTGACAGCAGACTGAGTCAGAACTTTAAAAGAGCTCTTAGATGCACGGTCCTAATTGGTCTTCCTCACACACCCATCTTGTTTGGGTTGATGTTGTACTATTTATTGTAGCGCGAGTGAACTTTTAAATAGCAAATCCATCTCCCCTCATCATTGACACAAACCCTATGTACCCCTCCAAAGACAGCACTCTTTCCACTTCCTCCGTGGGTTCACCATTTCCATCCTTCTTTCCGGCCCCTCCGGAAGTTTGTTTTCAGGCAAAAGCTGCCCTTTTGGTCTGATATGATTGAGTAGAAAATTTCCCTCTACGTTACTATTCATTTTATGGGCTTATCTCTGACTTGACCGAAAGTTGATCACAGTGGGTCAGGGGGAGGTTTTCAGTGCAGGTTTGAAGAGAGTTGAAGGACCCGAGTCTTGAGGTTGCACCATCTCTATCAGACTCATAAGTCTACTCGGTTTTGTAATACTAAACTTTGCTTTACACTTTTTCCCCCTTCTCTGTCCAAAATCTTCTGTTGTGCTATATTTTCAGAGTGATTAGTAGGGAGAGTGGGCACATCTAGCTTTTATTATCTCCGGGTAGTGGAGACTATGGTTTATGTGCTCTGTTAGTCTTTGGGCTAATTGTTTTCCTAGGTGTTTTGATTTTCTTCCCCCTTTTTGATCTGGATGGGAAGAGATCACTAGCTGCTGCTCACATTTCTTCTTTCATCCTTGATACTGTCTCTCAAGTGAGGATGCTAAAACATGTTATTGTTATTAAGTGCTGTTGAGTTCTTTCCAACTCATAGCCTATGGACACAACCCTATGTACAGTGCCACCCAGTCCTGCACCCGCCTCACAGGTGTTGTTATGTTTGAGCTGATTGTGATGGTTATTGTGTCAATCCACCTCTTCTAGGGACACTCTTTTCTTCACCCTACTTCTACTTTACCATACATGATGCTCTTTACCAGGGACTGGTCTCTTCTGACAATATGTCCAGAGGATGTGAGACCAAGTTTCATCATTCTCTCTTCTAAGGAGCATTTTGACTGTACTTTGTCTAAAACAGATTTTCTTTGTTCTTCTGGAAGCCTATGGTATTTTC